AACTCTTGATCTTTTCCTAGTTTTCATTGTGTCCCTCATTCCTACCTATACAGCTGTTTGCTGCCCATGTCCCTAACAGAATCTGTAGTTCCGACAGAGTGTTTGTCATAATTAAGTCATGGGTTTTAAAGAGACTCAGTGCAGCGTATAGCAAATGACCTGCACATGGTGTGTGATCAATAAATGGTATTGGCTGAACAATTAATGTTACTACTTCCAGCATGGCTTTCATTATCCAAAATGATGTGATCTTTTCTATCTTGTTATGGATATTAACTGCTAATTATACAAGCATGAAACTGTTCTGAAAAATCCACATTGAAGAAATCATAGCTAATAGTTGAGTTTTACCTCTTAAAGTAGTGGTTCTCAACCTTCCTAATGCTGTGACCCTTTAATACAGTTCCTCATGTTGTGGTGACCCCGTATGTGGGCCTATCTGCACGTGGCTAGACCCGCCTGAAGAGGGATAGAGGAGCGGTGTCTCACTTCCTAAAACCATTGGAAATATGGTCTTAGGCGACCCCCCCTGAAAAGGTCATTCGACCCTCAAAGGGATCGCAACCCCCAGGTTGAGAACCGCTGTCTTAAAGTAAATATTCTTGGTTGCGTTTCATGGTCGCACTGCCATCAAGTCAATACCAACTCACCGTGACACTGTAAGGACCGGGTAGAACTGTCACTGTGAGTTTCCAAGACTGTAACTGTTTATGGGAGTAGAAAGCCCAGGCTTTCTCCCGACATGTGTCTGTGGGGTTCAAACTGGGGACCTTTTGAATGAGAGCCCAACTTGTCACCACTACCCCACCAAAGCTCCTGGGTTTCCAGTTAGAGCCCTTTGAATAAAAGCCAAACAAGTAAGCATAGAGGGGGAAATCTTGTTCGAGATAGGCAAGGTAATTTGCAAATAAGTAGACACCTTTCTTGTGTCCCTACCTCCTTTCTTCTCTCCCTTCTGACTTCTTTCATTCCTTTGGGTAGAAGCTCGATGGGCCCATACTGAAATTTTCACAAGGTCTCTCTAATGGTGGTCCTCTTATACCCACTGGACACGCACTCCATCTTCATCATGACTTTGCGTCTCTGTTTTATTTTCATTTCACTATCTTGACAGTTTTCTATTCTATGGCTTATTGTCTGTCTCCCCCGTGGAATGTGTGTTGTTCCTGGAGAGCTGGGGTTTGAACTCTCTTTTGTCCCCTGCTCTGTTCCTGGGTCCTAAAGCAGGGCCTGGGGTGTAGCAGGCCCTCAGTAGGAACGTGCAGTATGGAAGGATGGATGACCTTGCCATGTGTGGAGACTTGCTTTTAGCAAGCAGAACTCACTTCAGAATATCCTTCATGGAAACAAACCTCTTTCCTTTTGAGAATGGATGTGACTTTGGGGAACCGCAAAAAGTCCTCAGAATCCAAACATGATGAATAAAATGCATCGTCCAACTGAGTGATGTAGTGTGGTTTAGAGTAAAAGATTAAGTGCTGATTAATAGTCACGAGGACACTGACACGCTACTTTGCAAAAGTGACAGTCTGATTCTCAAACTCATGGGGCATTCCCAGGGGCCCCAAAGAGCAAAGCAACTTGCAAAGGAAGAGCTCAGTTGGAGAACTCCCACTCCCTGGTTGGAATGTACTATAAAGCCACGGTAGTCAGGAGTGGTACTGTTTCAAGTGGAGGCACATGTGTTAGTGGAAGAGAATGGTGAACAAAAGTAGGTCAACTGAAATTTGAGCCAGGTCCGTTCAAAGGGAAAAGGGTAGTTGCTTCTCTGACAGGTACTCAGCCAACTGAAATGACATTTCAGTCGCAAAACGATGCAATTGAAATGAAAAAAAGAAAATGAAGTTGAACTGCTACTTCATGCTGTGCACAAAATATTGACTCAAAATGGGTTTACCTAAATATGAGAACTCAAAATATAAAACTCTTAGATGGAAACATAGAAATAATGCTACAAAACCTAGTTTGGGGCAATGGATTTTTACATCCTAAAAGCCGGAACAACCAGAGACAAAATAAGTTGGACTTCATCGAATTAAAAACTTAAGTGCATCAAAGGAATTGAACACGAAAATGAAGAAGCCATTTACAGAATGAGAAACAATATTTGGTAACCGGATGGGATGTCTGATAAAGAATTTAATGCACAGAATATATAAAGAACTGCTACAACTCAACAATAAGAAAACAAACAGCCTATTTTAAAAGTTGACTAAGACTTTCATAGGCATTTCACCAAAGAAGATGTGCAAATGACAATAAGCCCTTGAGAAGATCCCAGTGTCATTGGGAAAATGCAAATCAAGACCATAGTGAAATACCACTTCAGCAGATGGACATTGGGCCTCTACTCAAGTCCTCCCTCAATGCAAGAACACGTTGTTCTAATAACCTGGCATTCTGTGATGCTCGCCTTCCCGACATGATCGCTGAAGACAAAGCGGGTGCATAAGCAAATGTGAAGAAAGCTGATGGTGGCCAGCTGATGGTGTCTGGGGTCTTAAAGGCTTGAAGATAACCAAGCGACCACCTAGCTGAGAAGCAGTAAAGTCCACATGGAAGAAGCACACCAGCCTTTGTGATCCGGAGGTATCGAGGGGATCAAGTATCAGGCATCAAAGACCCAGAACAAAAATATCATATCATTGTGAATGAGGGAAAGTGCAGAGTGGAGACCCAAAGCCTATCTGTAGGCAACTGGACATCCCCTTACAGAAGAGTCACGGGGAGGAGTCAGGGTGCAGTATAGCACTGATGAAACATACAACTTTTCTCTACTTCTTTAATGCTTCCTCTCCCCCACTATCTTGATCCCAGTTCTACCTTACAAATCTGGCTAGACCAGAGGATGTACACTGGTACAGATAAGAACTGGAAACACAGGGAATCCAGAACAGATAAACCCCTCAAGACCAATAATGAGAGTTACAATACCAGGAGGATGGAGGGAAGGTGGGGTAGAAAGGGTGAACTGATCACAAGGACCTATATATAACCCCCTTCCTGGGGAGATGGACAACAAAAAGGTGGGTGAAGGGAGACATCAGACAGCGTAAGACATGACAAAATAATAATAATTTATAAGTTATCAAGGGCTCTTGAGGGAGGGAGGGGGAAATGAGCTGATACTAAGGGCTCAAGTAGAAATAAAATGTTTTGAGAATGATGATGGCAACAAATGTACAAATATGCTTGACACGATGGATGGATGTATGGATTGTGATAAGAGTTGTATGAGCCCCCAATAAAATGATTTAAAAAGGAAAAAAAATACTACTTCATATCCACTAGGATGATAATAACCAGAAACACAGAAAGCACTAGATGTTTTTGAGGGTGTGGAGAAATTACAGCCCTTATCTATTTGAAGATTCCTCAAAAAGGTAAACATAGAATTTCCATTTGATGCCAGAATTCCACTCTGAAGTATATACTAGAAAACAGGAGATGAAACATGTGCATATACCAGTGTTCTCTGAAGCATTATTCGCAATAGCCTCAAACTTGAAACAGTCCAACTGTTCATCAGAGATTAGAGGGATAAACAAAATGTGATAGATCCACACAGTGGGATTTTACTCAGTAGAAAAGAAGTATTGATACATGATGTGACATGGATAGGACTTGAAAAGATTGAATGAAATAAGGCAGAAAAAAGGACCTATACTGTGTGACCCCACTTATATAAAGTACTTCAAATAGGCAATAGAGTCAAAAGTTTATAAGTGATTATGAGGGATTAAGGCAGGAAATAAGAAACAATTAGGAAGTTCTGAGTTTGTTTGGGGGGACTAACAACTTTTCCCACATGGATCGTGGTGATAGTTGAATGGCATGGTGAATATATTTAATGTCATTGGATTGTAAGCTGAAAGGTGGCTGAAATAGCAGGTGTTTGGTTATGTATTTTTTACCACAATTTTTAAACTGTAAAAAACAAAAAATATTTGGAGTGCAATTTTGCGTGTCTGACTCTAAGCAGAATCCCCACAAGAGAACACTGGCAGTTGTTTTGTGCCCAGACCGAGTCCTTGCAATAGTCAGGGGCCTCCTAAGGAGACTCTAAAGGGGAGTAGGGGACAGTCAGTGTAAATTGTGGTACAGAGTCAGAAGTACAGAGAGAGCCATCATGGTCTTTCTCCCCATCCCTGTCCCCTTTACAAGGTGGGTGGTAACTGATCTCAGATCGCCTCGGTAGTTGGGGAACACACATCACTTTTCCTTCTTCAACCCTGTTTGCCCACGTTCTATCCTCCAGAGAGCTGAAACCTGCCGTCTGATTTTAGAATCCTGATTGGTCTCTGAACTTGGTTGAGCTTTATTCCTCGTCTCTAAAATAATGATCATTCTGGCCCTGTCCACTTTCAAAACTATGACAATAGTCACTGATCTCTATGATGCCTTCTTCCATCTTGTTGCTATTGTGAATTTTCATTGTTTCTACCCTGGCCCTTGTAAAAAAACAAGTTAAATTTCTGTAATATTGAATGTGTGTGAACTCTTATTTTTCAATTTATGAATTGAAGTATGTCTAGTCTGGAAATCAGATAAGAGTTCCAAATATCAGTATGAAGCTCTGAAGAGTTTTGTTAAGCACAGGCATACAGGAACAAGCAAGCTATCCTGGTTGATAGTTAGATTTCCTTTTCCATGGGGGAATCTCGGGGAAATTTTTTAACTAGGTTAAACTGAACAGGAAGGTCCTAATTGGTTGGCTTAGGTTTCTGTTTCTGGAAGCATCTTTTCACCTGGCTTTGAGCTCCTGGGAAGGTTAGCCAATTCAAAGAAATAGAAAGTTGGTTTCAGTGTGCTCAAGAGACTCCATCTTGGGTATAGTATATAGTCGGGCTAGCATCCTATATTCTTAAATAAGCACATTGATACAAAACCAATGGAATCGTTTTTGCAATCCTAGAAAAAAAATCTATACTGCCAGTTCATCACCACAAAATGGATGGAGAAATAATTTATTTCTTCTTTTTGAAAAAAATTTCTTTCAGCCATGGAATTCCACGAACACTTGCACACCATAGGCACAAAGGAAGGTCTGAAGGAACGAAAGCTACAGAAAGCAGTGGAGAGCTTTACCTGGAACATCACCATCTTAAAGGTATCTAGCAGCGCTCCTTCTGACGTGACTGATTTTGCAAATACTCTGAACGCATGTTTCTTGCACTCGGTGTAACATCTCCTATTTATACATTATCAGGCATTTCAGGCTATAATAGGTTTACCAAAAAAATCAAGTGAACAACTATTCCCTCCAAAGATAGAGCACGTCGGGACGATTAGGGTTGGTGCAGATACTGGTGAAGGACAGTGGACCTCACTGTTTTATGTTCAAAGCATTTTAAAGTTCACGAATGCCAGTTGTGGTGTATGACATTGGAAATAATGATGGCATGGGAATGACTGGGGATTTAAAAGTTCCAGATACTTAAATTTGGTTGAACACTTGGAAACCAAACCACCGCTTTAACGTTCACGTTGTGTTGCTCGGTGCCGTTGGGTTCCTTCTGATTCATGGTGGGCCCTATAAGAGGGTTTTTTTTAAAGTTTGTCCAAAAATCCCATGCTCTTATAGTGCCATTTTTGGAAAAACTTTTTGAAACCCCTTCATAGTTCGATGCAAACGTCACTCCCTCCTGTGCCATCCTCACAGCAGTGGGTCTGTGGGACCCATCGTGGCAGCCGCCATGATCAGTCCATCTCCTTGAGGGTCCTCTTCTTTCTCGCTGACCCTGTGCTATACCACGCAGGATGTCTTTCTCCAGGGCCTGCTCCCTCCTGGTAAAATGTCCAAAGTAAGCGAGACAAAGTCTCACCTTCTACTAAGGATTCCAGAGGTACTTCTTTAAGATCAGTGTGTCCGTTCCTGCACTCCATGGCCTGCTCAATATAACATGCTTTACCAACACCACCATTCAAGTTCGTCGTTTCTTTGGCGGCTTCATTTTCCATTGTCTAGTTTTTATGTGTAAGTGAGGCGATTGAAAAGACCTGCGCTGGTCAAGTATGCCTCACTCATAGAAGGGACAAGCTTGCTTTTTTAGAGGATTTCTGATTTCTTGGCTGCTGTGTCCAGGGCCGTTGGTGGCAGATCTAAGAAAAATGACGTCTTTGCCGACGTCCGTATTTACCTCTTTCATCCTGATATTCCTTATTACAATAGTTGTAAGGTGCTTGTTTTCTTTGTGTTGAGGTAGAATCCCTACTGAAGGCTGCACTCTTTGATCTTCATCAGGAAGTGCCTCAAGCCCTCTTTACTTTCAGCAACCAAGGTGGTGTCATCGGCACATCGAAGTCCATTCCAGATGCCCCGTTCTTCTCCATCCAGTCCAGCTTCTTGCATTGTGGGCTAAGCATACAAATTGCATTAGCACAGTGAGAGGGGAAATCCTGACACATACGCTCTCATATGGTACATAAGAGAATACCCCTTTGTTGTGTTCAAAGGACTGCCTTGTTCTATGTGCAGGACCCAAGTGAGCACTCGTAAGTGTTCTCGAATTCCCATTCTCCAGATTTGTGGATTCATACAGTTCAATGCCTTGTGTAGTCGATGAAAAAGGCAAGCAGCTCCTGTTGTTTTCTGCTTCCAGCCAAGATCTGTGACCTCAGCCGTGAGAACCCTCGTTGCATGCCGCCGTCTAAATCTGGTTTGAGAGTCTGCATGCTCACCGTCAGTGTGCACTTGCATTTGCACTCTTTCATCTTCAGCAGAATTTTGCTTGCAAGTGTTGTTAATGATACTACTTGATAATTTCCATACCCCATTGGACCATTTTTCTTGAGAGTTGCACATATATGAGTCCTCTCCAGTCCATCGGCTGGGGAGCTGTCCTCCAGGCTTGGAGGCATATTTTTTGGCTTCCAATGTTGCATCCATGTGTTGAAGCATCTTCATTGGCCTTTTATTAATTTATTGTTTTTGCCACTGCCAACAGTACAGCCGAAACAGCTCCCTTACGTAATAATGATTCTGGATCATGTGCACCCTCTGGGAGTGATTGAATGTCCACCAGTTCTTTTCAGTACAGGATCTGTGGATTCCTTCCCTCTTCTATTTTTTTTTTGTGGCAGTTTGGAACCTTTATTAGTTAACCAGCCAGTAGTTTTCATCCACGTTGACTGTCTGTAGGTTTTCGAAAGTGGGTGACAGGCACGTAGGTAACCAATTTTTAGAGCTTGTTCGGAGAATCTTCATCCTCATTACGTGTCCTGGACAACCGCACTCGGATACAATATGGAACATTCCTGATTCCTTTGGCCCACGCAGCTTTGTTGAGCCTCGTGTCCATTCGTACATCGGGTGTCCCCATCTCCTTCATGGCAAACTTCCGAATTTCCTTGAGCGCCCGAGGGACACGCTTCTTGAAGCCCACACCATGGATGCGCTTGTGAATGTTGATGGTGTACTCTCTGGACAGGACCTCGTGGATGGCCGAACGGCCCTTCTTCTTCTCACCGCCCTTCTTCGTGGGAGCCACAGCGCCGGGACCAGGCTGGAAAGGAGTCCTTCCCTCTTCTTTGGATGCTTCCTGCATCTTCCTTTATAGTGCCCATAGAAATTTTCATTATTGTAACTTGAGGTTAAATTTTTTTCTTTTCTTTTTTTTGTTTTAAATCATTTTATTGAGGGCTCGCACAATTCTTATCACACCCATCCATCCATCCATGTGCCAAGCACATTTGTACATTTGTTGCCATCATCATTCTCAAAACATTTGCTTTCTACTTGAGCCCTAATATCAACTCCTCATTTTTTCCCTTCCGCTACCCCCCTCCCTCATGAACCCTTCATAATCCACAACTTATTGTTATTTTGTCATATCTTACACTGTCTGATGTCTCCCTTCACCCACTTTTCTGTTGTCCATCCCCAGGGAGGAGGTTATATGTAGATTCTTGTAATCTGTTCCCCCTTTCTACCCCACCCTCCCTCTACTCTCCAGGTTTCGCCACTGTCATCACTGGTGCTGAAGGGGTCATCTGCCCTGGATTCTCTGTGTTTCCAGTTCCTATCTGTACCAATGTACATCCTCTGGTCTAGCCGGTTTTGTAAGGTAGAATTGGGATCATGATAGTGGGGGGAGGAAGCATTGGAGGTTAAATTTTTTTCTTCAGCTTCTTTCAACTTGAGAATTTTTCAGTGGGTTTTTGTGTTTGTTTTCTAAACCCAGGTTGTTATATATTTCTTATGATAGTTTACCTTGTCTTCTTTTTTTTAAAATCATTTTCTTGGGGGATTGTACAACTCTTATCACAATCCAGACATACATCCATTGTGTCAAGCAAATTTGTACATGTTTTGCCATCATCATTCTCAAAACATTTTCTTTCTACTTGAGCCCTTGGTATCAGCTCCTCATTTTTTACCCGTCTTCTTATACTGTTCTTTGAGATTTCAGTTCATTATTTGTTCCATTTGATTTAGCTGTTCGATGTTCAAGAGAAAGTTTCAGAGTCTCTTCTGACATCTTTGGTCTTTTCTTTCTTCCTGTCTTTTAAATGACTTTTTACTTTCTTCAGGTGTGACGTCCTTGACACATTTCACACGTTTCCTGGTGTTGGTCATTATGGTTCAGGACATCAAGTCTGTCCTTGAGATGATATGTAAATTCAGGTGGACCATTTGCACGGTCATACTCTAGCTATTGTGGACTGGTTTAATTTCCTTCAGCTTGAACGTGAGCCTGCTTAGGACCAATTGGTGGTCTGCTCTTCAGGTGAATGATGCTGCTGGGTTTCTCTGTTTCTTAACACAGATGTATTGTATCTGGAAGGGGTCCATTTGGACAGTCATCATTTATGTTGTTGAAAATAAGGTTTTTCCCATGAAGAGCTTGTTGGTTTTGCAGATATCTGTCATACCATCTCTGGCATCATTTCTATCAGTTAGGCCCTATTGTCTAGCAGTTGAGCCTATTTAGTTTCAAACATTCGCATTCCAGTCACCAACAGTCACTAATGCACATTGTATCCATTCCATGCTGTACAAGTGGATGGAAGCCTTCAGTTTCTTCATCGTGGGCATTAGTAATTGATTTCATCCATTCCATACTGTACAAGTGGAAAGAAGCCTTCAGTTTCTTCATCATGGGCATTAGTAATTGATTTCATCCATTCCATACTGTACAAGTGGATGGAAGCCTTGATTTCATCCATTCCATACTGTACAAGTGGATGGAAGCCTTCAGTTTCTTCATCTTGGGCATTAGTAATTGATGCTTAAACTTGAACAATAGTCATATTAACTGCTTTTCCTTGTAGGTATATGGCTATTAACCTAACACTGACAGCACTGTACTTCAGGGTGGACCTTTAAACGTTGTTTTGACCGTGCAGCATTCTGTTTTCAATTGGTCACTCCTGGGACAGTAAGCGATGCGATGGCCTGATTCAGAATGGGCATACCGGTCCACTTCTGCTCACTAATGATGAGGCGATCAATCTTGAAGCATTCCATTTCATGTTTGATGACTTTGATTTCAATCACTTGTGGGCATGTTCAGCTATTTATTCTTCTTTTGAGCCATCCACCTTCGTGCAGACAGGTCGTCAAAGCCTGACTCGGTCCACATCGCTAAGGTTGACCATATACTTGGAAGAGGCAGCTGTGTGCCAGTTGTATTTTGACTGCCTTCCCCTCGGAAACACTCACCTCCCAGCACTACCAGACAACCTCCTGTTACCCATGCGGCTTTCACCCGCTCCTTTTGTTGTTATTGCCAGGCCCCTCTTCCTAGTGTCTCTTAGTCTGGAAGCCCCTCGGACACCTGTGTATCATGGGCATGCTGTGATTTGTCTATCTTCCTGTGTCACAGTGACATGCAATCCACCCAAAGACAATAAGGTGACTGATGGATGACGGTTAACGATTTTTTACACAAGTAGCATAAGTGCTATACTTTTTTCGGTGTGTGTGTCTGTGTGTGTTTTAACTAGCATAGTGTGCTTTCAGAAATATCTAATACAGTTAGGGGATGGGGCCGTGAGTATAATATTCACATTAGTATTAATAGATACGAGTAAGAAAAACACAGAAAAAAATCCCAAAAGCAGGTTGTGTGGGGCATAATCAAAAGAAATATGTAAAGTAAATGTCAC